CCCCAAAACCCCAAAACCCCAAAACCCCATGAGGATAATATCGAGCTAAAATAGGTAAAATTATAGTGTCTTGAGATATTTTATTTTATCAAAACACAGTTTGGCCGACAATCTTCATTGTATCCTGGAATGTCTTAATACTATTAGAAAGGTTATCCAATATTTCGTCTTGATGATCGAATCTCTCATCCATCTCTAGTTCTAACTGCTCCCTTAATCTTCTAAATTCATCCATTGCTTTTCTTTGGAATTCTTCAACAAACTTATGCTGTCTTTTTAATTAATCCTTCACATCATCTCTGAATGCTCCAAACTTCAAACTTTTGTCAGTTCTCTCATAGTCAATTTTCTTGTGTAGTTTATACTTCTCATCATCTAATGCTTGTAGAATATCTTTCTCTCTTTCAATTCTAGTTGAACATTCCTCATCAAATGCCTTTTATTAATCTAAAAATGATTTAAGCATTTAATTTTACTATTAAGATCAGTCCTTGTCGCGTAGATAATTTCATCTGTTTCAACAACTCTGTCTTTTATTTCCTTTTTTATGTTATTTTCTAGTCTATCCATTCTGTCCTTTGCAATTTGGAATTCATTTCTGTTGTGGTCCCTCATCTATCTTATCTTCTCTTCATATTCCTCTCTCAATAACCTCAATTTGTACTAAAACTTAGATTGAAACGCTTTTAAAGTGTCTTTAACTCTCTTCACCTCAGCATTAGTAAAATCTTTGTTGGCTTAAATCTTTCTTGCAATGTCTTAGAATTTAGCTTCTAATTGTTTCTTAGATTCCTCACGTTCTCTAAGCATTACATCATAATCATGATCCATCTCTGTTAATTGATGTTTCATGTCCTTGAGCCCTTTGTTATCATCTTAATGCTCTCTAAAATGACCCATATTTTTCTCTGTTAACATTTTATTCAAGCTCAATTCAAATATTATAATACTTGTATATTTAATTTCTATTATAATCACTTTAGACTCTATATTTTTAAAGCGGGGTTTTGGGGTTTTGGGGTTTTGGGG